ATATATATATTCACTCCATGGTATTGCTTTCTCACGTCATTATACGGGATGCACTCTAACCTCATTGTATGTGCAAAAGTCTCCCCAAGAATGAATTGACTATTTTTCCTTATTTCGAGATTCGACAACTATTATGCTTCAGTCATATAATGTCCAAATTTTGCCTGTGAAGTAAATTTGAAATTGAGGTTCCCTTTTCCGGAATTATTTTCCAAAGTCGGGATACCTATCTGCACTTGTGTATTCTCAAATGTATTATGTGAGATTTCATACGCTGCTACCTAATTCTTTATTATTGTAGGTATCCTGCTGACCTTTCCAAAAGAGCAAAGATCCACTCAGTATTAGACTGGCATCACTCAAATTTACGCCACGGTGCAGGTGCTTTATGTCTATCTTCGAAGATTCTATTGATCCGAATTGATGACTATGCTTAGCATATCATTGATTCGTTATAGGTTAATGATGCTGTTGAGGTTTGCATTCTCTCTTGAGAAGCATTGGGATATGTTTAAGAATGAAGCGACAATTTAGAGGACACTCCTGTTTTAACTAAATGATGTTATCCCAATGGAAGAACTACAATTAGTTTTGCGCACACATGATTTTATGCATTTGTCTTTTTGATGAGATAAATGCTTTAGGTGCCCTATGGTAGTGCAAAAAGAAAGAAAATGGAGTAATTATAATAAATTTGTATTTCAGTTCTTTGAGTACGTTTATCTGGTGGGCCTTAGTTTTCTTAAACATGCTGTTGGTTCCAGCTACATATGTCCTCAACTCTACTCTTGGACCTGCACTTGGGCGGCCTTTGAATCCAAAAGCTGCAGCTGAAGGTGAGAAAATATTATCTGAGTCTCTTGCAAAGATTGAATCTGTTTGGCTCAAGGGAAATGGACGTTTTCTGCTTGGAAGCTTACAACCATCCATAGCAGATCTTAGTTTAGTGTGTGAAATCATGCAGCTCGAGGTAAACATTTATGTTAGTTTTTTTACCATCACTGATATGATCAACAATAATAGGTTGTTAGAAAAATAAAGTACGACAGGGTTGTGCAATGTTCTTATACCGTAGTTTTATATACTAGGCATTCCTTTAGTTCTAGTATCAGCTATTTCTCGTATTGTCTAATCTACTTACTTAACATGTATAATACTTTTTCTTCAGTGCTGTGATGCAATATGTTTGAAACTCTAGAATTTTGTGAATCCATTTCTGATCAACTTTAGTGGACTTGTTTTGCTGGGTTTAGGTTGTGAATGAGAAGGATCGTGATCGAATATTGGGCCCCCACAAAAAAGTTTTGAAATGGATCAATGATACGAAGAATGCGACGAGACCTCATTTTGACGAAGTGCATTCCGTCCTTTTCAAAGTAAAAGAGAAACTAAAGAGGCTGCAGTCGGGAGGGGCAAAAGACGAGACACAATCCACGTTGAAAAGTGCTCTGCATTCTAAGATGTGAGTACAAGGGGGGAAAATCATGGCTGATAAAAGTATTTTCATAGTCATTTTCCATCAAGACTTTATTGTACCCTTGAGGTTCTCAAGACGAGCATATAAGTAGTCTTTTTAACTGTTCTGTTGTGGTATCTAAATTAAATAAAATACTTTTCTGCTAATTTCATTGGAAAATTTATT